TGTGTAAGTATAAATAAGGCTGTATGTGGATGTAATGAAGCAATTGCCCAGAGCAACAAAGAGAACCATTGGGAACATTTTATCTGAATTGGCAAAAGGTATGGCTAGGGCAAGAGAAACTGATGATAATATGAGGCCAGCGATTAACAACACTTTACGTCGATATTTGTCTACAGAATATGTCATGTAGAGATTGGTTGCAGCAGCAAATGCGGTGAATATTGCGTTATTAATAAATACGGAAGAAGATAGATCAAATGAAACATAATATATTCCATCCTCAACGAATGAGGCGCATCAGCCAAATGACCAAGAAACATAGAAATATTTTCCTGGTTTCCTTGTATTTGAATAAACGAAAGATATTGAATTTTTCATTTTCTTTCTCCTTTAGTTGTAATTCATTCAAATTTTCACAAAGCTGACCAAATTTAGCATTAAATATATCCTCATCCAATTCAGAATATTGTCTCAATATTATTCCAGCTTTTGTCTTATCACCAGAGATTAACTGCCATCGAGGTGACTCAGGAAGGTAATAAATTGCAATCAATGTTGCCAGCTGATAAATTGTGATTCCAATGAAAATGGTGCGAAAATCAAGAACGAAGTAGCAAGTAATAATCATCACATAAGTAGCAATATACCAAAGCCATTCAAAGCTGATTACCATTTTACCACGATGATTTGGACCAACATTTTCCATACCTAATCAGAAAAATAATTGACATTAATTTAAACTGCCATAAAAAAAGTCTCAAACATACTATTTTGTTACATGAGTTTTATCTAATTAATGAAAATACGAGGTAGTTACTTGATTCAGTAGTACAACTACTGAAGCAATTATAATTTAAACGGTTGTTAAACATAAAGAGTTAATCATAAGCACTCAACTTCCTTGAAAATACATTGTATCTTAATCTCAAGATATTGAGCAAACTGAAAATGGTGATATTTGTTTATGGCTCTATGTATTGTGAAATTAATAATTGAAGAAAACCTTGAATTCATATGAAAGATAAATCTCAAGCAAGATCAATGAAAGGCAAGATAATCTCAACTTGAGTGGGCCTTAGTCCCTCTAGCATAAGATACGAATAAAGTTCATATTTACATTTAAATGTATTTTGAAACCCTTGGAATACTCACAAAGAATCAGGGCAACAATGTACCTTCCATAGCCCCCGATACCGTCAATCACTCTTAATACAATGAAAACGTAAAGATTTGAAGTAAAAATGATTCCAATCTGACTTATTATTTCGAGGAAAACGGAACAAGCCAATGCAAATTTTCGGCCAAATTTATCGGAAATATAGCCAATTACGATACCAGAGATCAAATAACCAAATACATAAACAGATAAGGTGAATGATTTTAACCAATAACGCTCACAAATCATGTTCCACTGCAAAAAAAGTCAGATGTTGGATTATCAATGAAGTTAAAAATGAAGAATGAACTTACTTCTCTAGAAATAGTTATACGGTCTGTTTCAAAGCCCCATTGCTTACATGACCCCAGTTCATCAAACGTACACTTGTCTGAATGCAAAATAATCTGTAAAAAACGTAAAAATTAATAAACAAATAAAAACAAAAACTCTAATGAATACTTACTTTGGTTCCGTTATTTTGTTCACACCAGATTTCATCTTTCAAGGCATAATAAGTTATACCCAAGTAATTGAAGGGAGCAACAACATAGATATGGCAAGCAGTCCAAAAATTTTCTTCTGAAGTGGACCCCATGAGCCAATTAAGTCAGAAACATTGGTGACTTTATCAGCTTTCTCAGGCGACATCATGAACTACAATCTGACATAAATTTCTTTCTGCAGCTTC